ATAGACCTATGTTATTATGTTATGGAATTTCATGTCGTTAAATGTGAGAAGGGCACGGGAGAACATTTCTCATCATTGCCTCCTGATGACATGGTCGCCGATAGAGGCGTGTGGTTGATGAGGTTTCATAACCGACATGTGGGTGTGTGTTAAATGCAGTGGGTGTGTTCACCTCTCTTGTCCGTGTGTAGGCAGGAGGTATGGCTACCTCTCCCATTTGTAGGCAGCGTGGACCATACTTGTAAGTATAGACAGAGTTCATCATTTCATGCATGTTACATCATTTGTGTTTGACAAGGGAGGAATGAGAGGTTGTGCGTATGGGTACGGGGATACTCCCTGTGTCCGTGTTGTTCCCAGATGTTGCCGCATCAAGTGGCAGCATGTGTCATGGACAGGTAGACGTGGAAGGACGGCAACAGGTGAACAGCAGTAGTAGTATGTTGTGCATGGTGGCATTTGGGCTTGTGCAGAGGCGCAGTCCATCTTCGACCACACACAAAGGAGTTTGCTCGTACCTCTGGGGATTTTTCGAAGTCCTGGGTCAGCCAAGAGCAGCAGCAAAAGGAGCAGACGCAGTGCAGTATACTCTACAGCTTTACAGTCCGTCCTCCTCAAGTCCTATCGGAGATGATTAGTATCGCACAACGGCTGGATCCGAAATGCCGGCTAGCTCCGCAAACCAAGAGAGGTGGGTGGCTGAGCTAAAACCTTGTTTTGTTTTTTTTGGATACCGGTATTTTTGTTGTTCCGACGGTGATTCTTTCTTTTTGTCGTTCTGACAATATTTGTTTTCCTTTCCTGTTTTTCTTCGTTTTTCTTCGTACTTTCCTTTCTCCGGTTTCGACCTTGTTCCGGTCGTCGTACAACAATGTAGGCTTTTCCTAGCTCCGTCAGTTCCTTCCGGTGTCTTTTGTCGTTTAGAAGTCAAACGATGGTCTTGCGACCCATCGAGTGAGAGGTGTAGGAGGGTGAATTGTGCTGTTTTGGAGCTCCACATCCTCGATACTCTCATTTAGGGACTCGACAATTGCTTGCCAAGCTCCAAGGTTTTACAGTATCTGCGTAGTATGAGAACCTCCAGGGTTGTTGTTGTTGTTTGTCTTCACATTAAACCGTATGTCAGTTGCTAAATGCCAAAATCTAGCAAAAGACTCTCAGCCCGTGGTCACGAAAGTGCTAGAGCCATCTGAGGATCTAAAGAACACGCACACATCTGACGAGAAAAAGGTATGCAAGAGCCCGAAGAGGTACACCTAAAAATCCCTGCAGCACCGTATGCGTGCCCAAAAACTGAACTGCACGTCCGTCCCACCGTTCGACTACAGTAGCATCACCCCCTCCCTGTCCCACTCTATACCAAAACGGAAGATTGCCGACTACAGCATAATGCTGTCTGAAGTGCTGTCTGTACAAAAACACCATGGTAGGCATGGAA